TTAACTATATCACACTCCCACAAACCTGCCAAGGCAAACACAATGTGCTCACGATGGTGGAAGCAACCACTGGTTGGCTGGAAACGTATTGCATGCCCCACGCCACTGCTCGGAATACTATCCTGGACCTTGAAAAGCAAGTTCTATGGCAGCATTGCACTCCAGAAAGAATTGAGTCAGACAATAGGACCCATTTCCGAAACAACCTCATAGACACTTGGGCAAAAGAACACGGCATTGAGTGGGTATATCTCATCCCCTATCATGCACCAGCCTCAGGGAAAACTGAGTGGTACAGTGGATTGTTAAAGACTACACTAAAAGGAATGAGTGGTGGAACCTTTAAAAATTGGGATAAACCTCTGGCACAATCCTCCTGGATAGTTAATACCAGGGGAAATCTATCAATCGAGCTGGTCCTGCTCAGTCAGACCGTTTACCTACATAGAATGGGATAAAGTCCCTGTGGTGCATGAAAGGAGTATGCTGGGGAAAACTGTTTGGGATTTTCCTGCTTTGGGCAAAGGCAATCCCATTCAAGTGCCTGGGTATACTTGGTGGGTGATGTTGAAGGATGATGAAATCCATCGTGTACCTCAAGGGTATTTGATTTGAGGCGAGAATCCTCAATTTTGAATTGTATTATGTTAATTGGTACATAATACTAACAGTATTCAATAAGTGTCTTTCAGGCTAACACCACAGTGATGACAACCTAGATTCAACAAGTGGTACCCAGTAACTTCCTCAAAGTTGATACCTTTAACCCACGGGCACGAACCACGCTGAATCTCACACCATTTCTCCTGCCCTGAGAGACTGCTACGACAGACGGAAACCCACAATCATCAGCTAGTGTCTGTGTAATATGTATAACTATTTGGAGTTGGGAAAAAAACCCCAAACAGTAGTACCCTGAGTAAGACACGAATGGTATGGAATAAGGGGTGGAATGTCCTGGTTTGGCTAAAACAGGACCATTTCTCCTTTCAGGAGATTTTCCTTCAGTTAAGTTTTCTTAAGTAATGGCACTTTCTGAAGCTGACTACAGGTTTTCCAGGCTGTGCCTGCTCTTAGAGTTGATGGCACTTGACATCTGTAGTTGTTGCTGGAGTAGAAGCAGGATTGTTATGCAGAAAGGTCCATAGGTGTTCTTGTTCCCTGTGGGCTCTCTTGCGCTCTGTGTGGGGGGAGGTGGAAAAAGTGGATAAGGGTCGCACTCGCAGGAAGCTGCGGATGGGACAGGTGACCAAGGACTGACCAATGCAGCATGCCAGCCCACCCACAGGAATACTCAGTATAAAGCTCAGGGATCATGAGGATCAGGCCCTCTTTCCTTCATGGCCAGCATCCTGGTGGGACACTGTTCTCTCTCCTGCCTCAGATCCCAATTTGTGCATTCCTGAATCCAGTTCCTGTCTGCTGTGGAGCCCAGTCCAGGACATCCGGGTGCCTGCCTGGCCTCGTGAGCACTGCGAGCTGCCACTGTGTGGCAGGCAGTCATCATTGGGAAGATCAATATTGGTTTTGTATATTTCTATTATTAGTAGTATTAGTTTTAATATAATTTATACTCTTTCTCACTGTTATTTCTTTAATAAAAGTTTGCTTTAACTTTCCAACCCATAAGTGTCTCTCCTTTTTCTCCTCTCCTTCTGGGAAAGGAAGGGGTTAATAGCATCTGCCATCGGCGCTGGTACAGCCTTTAAATGGTGACATAAGTGTACTGTAAAAGTGAGTGCTTTCTTTACAATGTTCAATCTCATCATGTGAATACAAGATATTCCATTTTAAATTCCTAAGTAAATACATTCATAACCCTCTCAAAACAGTAACTACAGTAGTGCATTTTGTACCAATGAATTTTAAGAAAGATTATTTTGGGAAATATTCTGTCAAACAACTACTCCAGATAGCAGGTACAGTAACAGAAGCCAGATGGTATCCATAAAGAGAAAGAAGTACCACTTCACATCTCGTAATAAAGCTGAAGGCTGTACCTAAGGAACATTTGCTGCATCATTGTCAGGCTTCATTTATTTACATTTTGCAGCACCCAAGCTGCCTGTTAGCAAGTGCAAACCTACTTGACAAAGCAAAACAAAAAAAAATGTTCAGCTTCTCTTTGGATTTTAAAATGGAGAAGCAATTGAATCTTTTTTTTCTTTTCTGCTGAAGAGAGTTTACTAATGAAACATCAAAATGTTTTGTTGTACTACAGTGATACATAAATAACTATTACAGTCTAATTAAGCAGATAAATTCAAATTTCAGATCTACAGAGCACATTTTAATCTGGCTTCCAATGCTTTCAGTCTGTTTGTACATAGAACAGGGACATGTGTGTTAAGAAAATCTGGACTTTAACAGGACAGCTATTGCATGTATGTCTATAGTATATTATGAATATCTTGATTTATTCCTTTGTACAACAGCTTAACTTTAGGCATACAGTATTGTCTAGAGTACTGCAGCAGTCCCTCAGTGCTGGAAGCTGTTAATCTGTGTTTTGCAAGCCTTCCTTTGTCTCCAGGCTGAGATCTTACTGTATTTTCATTACTTATTAAAAATAGCTGGTAGTATTGTCAAATTAGTGGGATTAACCTACTTTAAAGAGGAAATTAGGTCAGTTACTATATTCATGCCCAGCCTTCAACTCTCATGTATTGTTACAGCTCTCTTGCATCCTACAAAATGGGAGTCTTTCTGTGGATAAGTATCTGTGTGCAGCAGCCTGCTTCATCCCACACTTGAACACAACAATGAAAACAAACACGGTGGGGTAAAGGCCCCATCACTTGTTTTCAGTCTCGGCTGATACAAACCTCTTGGCCAGAGAAGAAACACAACTTACTGTAGACGGTTAAGAGGTGCTCCATTAGCAGGCAGTAACAGGTCTTCATAGCTACTGTGGCATCTGAAACACTGGACACACTGGGAGAAAGAAGCAATTCTTCATGCTCTGTGCAACTGCCGCTGTCTCAGGCTAGATGCAAAATACAAGGCCCAGCTGCTTATCTGCCATGCACCGATCATGAATGCAAGTGCTCACAAGAGAAAAGGCTCAGTGAACCACGGCTCCACTCGCTCCCATCCTCAGCTTTTTGAGTCCTCCGTTGCTCTTGTCCCCCTCCCCTTTTTTTTTCCCACTACAGTTACTAAGTAAAGCATAAGTTCAGAAATAACAATTATTCATTTAGGCAGGGGAGTCTCTCATGCATTCCCAAACAGAGCTCTACCTCTAATCACCCACAACTCCCCAAGAGAGCTCCAGGACACAGCTCTTAAGTCTGTTGCTTTCAGAACTTTTATTCTGCCTCCAACTTCCACATGTCAAGGAATCCTCATTACTGTCTTCCCAGTAAAAGGACAAGATTGACCTCTAGATAACACACCGAGAGAAAGGCAGAGAGACATTTACCCCTCTGGCATTTCTCTGACAATTTTTCCTCTCCAAACCAGTTCACATCACTCTCTCAGTTTCACACTGAGGCAGGAAAATCAAAGTGTATAGAAAATATACTGCAGTTGTGTGTAATTTAGACAGCTAGCTATCTGCATCTAGGAAAAATAACTGAAAGTTAATAGTATGCTTTTTCTCTTTCCTCTCAGCTTCAAGCTGATCTACAACAAAGAGATTTGTTGTAATTTCTGCATATTAATTACATTCCAGAAAAGGAGAGAGAGAGGACAGAAAGTAGGACAGATCGGGACTGTACAGGGCATTCCTTCCTCTAGCATAATGAGCTGCCACAATTCAACCTTTAGCATTCCTTGCTATCCATTTCTCCTTTCCATGCTTACCCACATGCACAGATATTGCTGAGAAAGGCTGAATCACCCTAAGATTACTCAGGGAACATGAGAGCTGCTGCAGAACCATCCTCACAAAAGACCATACAGAAAAGCCTCAGGAATCCTCAGAAGCACCCTTGTGATTCCCTACTATAGTACTTTTAGCAGCTGACAGAAAGAAAAGATTTTCTGGGGTTTTTTTTGTTCGTTTGGTTTTGTTTTGTTTTTTGGTGGTGGTTTGTTTTTTTTTTTTTTGTAATGTCCAGAGAAGGCAGAGAATGAAGCAGCATACAGCACATTCAAACTCCCACCGCCTTGGGTTAGCTTAAAAGCAAGTGTCTATGTTACATTAAACAGCATCCTTTACAGTCTCTCTTCTCTATTTTCTTTAGGCAATGCATGTAACATGCAGCCAAGTGAACATTGACAGGGGTATCCCTGTGAATCCTCCCGAGCTGGGACTTGCAACTTTTAGATACAGATTTTTCTTTTCCTGTTTTTCAGGATCATCTCCTCATAGGAGCCAACTGAACATCCCTTAGCTGTGAAGCAGATCTGGATTTTGTAACATGATGTTGTTGCTTCAATATTCCCCAAAAGAAATGCGTAAACTTAAAGAAGAAATCAATGACAGCAGCAGTAAGCAACATGCAGATCAAAACAGCATTTATCGCTTCTACAGCACGTGACGTGTCAGCAGGTATTTTTTTGTCTGTTAACACCACAAAGCACAACTGAGAAGCAGAAGCAAGTTCCAAAGGCATACGCAACCCAAATCAAGCTCAGACAGGTAAATGACATGACAAGAGATGCCAACTGAAGGATAGAAAACCTAAGAATAACAAGATGTTTGCAACATCTTTTCTTTTTTCTGGATCGTTACCGATCAAGCAGAGTCACATCTTCATTGTGTAATAAATGTTCATTTTGCACTGTTACATGTTACTCCACAGGGTTAATGGCTTCATGAACTAGGGATAATCTCACACCCAAATTAAATAAATACTGCCACAACAACTTGTTGTTTTGTTGCAATGTACTATATGCCTGGCATTTTCCTCATCAATCGGAACATATAGCAGACAAACACTGTAGGCAATGAACTTGGAAAAAGGCACCCCAACCCGCCATTCTCTGCATGGGTAGGTGGACAGAATGTTCAGCTCTTCCCCCACACAAGCAAGGAAAGAGATTTTGCAGAGTTCATATGTTCTTTACCTTGTAGCAAACATTGCTCTCAGGGAAGAGAAGGTAGCAGCATCTTCTTTCAAAGCCTTCAGCTCATTTCGCAGCTTCATCATTGTCTCCGTAACCATAGCTTTCTCATTTTCATACTTGCTTTTTAAGTTGGCAAGGGCTACCTCTGCAGTCTGTTGTTCACCAAGAAGAACAGAAACATACTAGTTAATGAAACTCCTCACAAAGTGGCCGGCTAAGATATTTCTAGTCATTATTCACATAATGAAACATTTACTTTGTACTGAAGTGTTAAACTTCGGGTCAACTTGTCTTGTACAGATTAAATAAAATTTAATTTTTGAACACTGGAAACAGATCGGATATATGGGTGTCCTACTACCATTAACTGCAGCAGCATCTAGAAAGTTACAGAATATACATTTAGTGACACCTATCTCTAACTACTAAAAGAAATTAAACATGAAGTTTAATTTCAATTTTCAACACAAAGAACAAAATAGTCTATTTAGTATCTCTATATTTAAATGCATTCATCAATCACTTGCACAGTTCTCTAACCGTTACAGCATTTTGCCTATCTTACATTTTGGGACACTTTTATTAAAATGTGCAAGAGAAAACTGAAAATATGTATGCATTTCTTAAACAACACTACTTTTTTTTTTTAAGACAACTTCAATTTGCATTACTTTAACTTTAGAGATGACAAGGAAGCATGTCACATGGTGTCTTAATGGCAGTTACTTTCATCTACTGCACTGCTAATATGTATCAAATGGCACAGCCCAATCCCCAAAGACTAATTTTACCTTTCACCCCTGTTACTTTGTCTGTGTTCTTATCCTCATCCTCATCTTGTAATGCTTTCTTTTATTTTGCAGTTTGAGAGAGAAGAGTACTTAAGTTCAAGATCTCTTTTAAGGGTAGCTACTAGAATTCTTTCCAGTAGAAAATAAGATTTACCTCTTCATTTTACATGCCTTACATTAAATAAAATCTGATACAATTCAGACAGGCAGTAGACTGAAGCTACCTTAAGCTTAATAAAAAGGCTCATGAGTATGTGACAAACAAAATTCAGTTAAAGCCCCAGAGTTCAGCTTTACAGTAGGACAGCTGTGTGCCTCTAATGAAATAGCCTGCTTCAGCCTTGCACCAAACAAGTATCATCCACAAAAGCCCCACAGAGTTGAGGGTATGGTGGTATGACCTCAGAGATAAATTCTCTTGTGTTTATGACCTGATTCCCTGACACTATAACCTTCACATCTGTAAGACCTGGTTACCTGTTTGTTGGCCTTCAGCACAGTTCTCAGAGTTGCTATCTGTTCTCTCTTGGTGCTCAGCAGGGACTTCAACTTCAGGATTTCTTCCATGAGAGCTTCCTTGTCTTTGTCCACCACTGGCCCAAGTTCTTGAGTGGCAACACACTGCCTGGACAACTCAGTTGTTCTGTCCACAGCAGCTTGCAGGTGTTTGATCTGATCCCGGATTATAGCGATCAAGTTGTAAATGTTCATCGGTTCCTTCTGAGGATCTGACACAGGAGATGGCAGAGATGACACTGGAGATGGGCTGCTGTCACCGCTTCCATTCTCTGCCTTTCCTAGCTCTATAGTTAACAGCCCTTTAGAAAGAAGAATGGGAGACCTTCTTCCCTTAATCTCTGGACTACTGCGTCCACCTTTACCTTCCTTGTAGTAATCCAGCATCACTCTGTTTGGAGTTTCATTGTTGCACATGCAGACATGATGGTATAAATTGGCCAGTTCTTCACTGAAGGTGACTAGTTCATCTTGGGCCACACTGAGGCTGCCCTGTGTTTCTCCAGCAACATCACTGACTTTCTTCAGCTCCTTCTCCAGTCTGGCCACCTGTTCTTTATCATGCCTACTGGATTTTTCTAGCGAGGTGAGCTTTTCAGTGAGAGTTTGGCTCTCGGTCTCATATCTGCTCTTCTCTTCCTCATACTTAGACTCACATTCTTTGTATTTGGCCTTAAGATTTTTGAGCTCTTCTTTTAGGTCAGTAATCTCTGCCACAGCCACTTTGTACTTGCACTCCAGGATCTCCGGGCCATTGATATCAACTTCATAATAGTCTCCATCTTCGTGGCTGTCTCGGTCCTTCTCATTGTCAAGGGCAGACTGACGTTCCTTGCTGACCTGGAGCTTCTTCATTGCGTTCAGGTTTTCTGTGAGTCTGCCAACTTTCTCATGTTGCTCTGACAGGGCCCCCCGGGTATTTTCCAGCTGCTTCTGGGATTCCTGTAGTGTTGTTAACAAGTTCACCTTTTCTCTTTCCATCTGAAATACATGAACAGAGACATCTACGTAAAGGAAACTGTATCACAGTTAAATGGTTTTATTACAAGAGACAGTAACTCAGCCAAAGTCCATATGGTTACAGAAATCCAATCCCTGGCACACTACGGAAAAGGCTATTTAATTTATTCTAAAACTAGCTCAAGCACTGTGTTCCTTGCCAATTCTTTCTCATTTCCACTTCAAAATGCACATTTTTACACATTCCTTCCATAGCTGATGGTCTCATTGTGGAAACATCCTTTCAGATGAAGATAAGATAAAGTTTACTGTTATTTTGCAAATTATCAAGTACATATCAGCAAACATGCAGCTAGTCTATGGTGGAAGCTTGGAGCTTCATGAAAGACTCAGAAATACCAAAACTTCTAAACTTCTAAAGTTTCTCCTCTGAAAGTTCTCATTTTCAAAAAAATCTAGCCATTTTTTCCACAAAGGCTTTTTCTTATAGAACACTTGAAAAAATCCTTGACAAACTAATTTTAAAACATTTCTAGGCAACACAAATATGTACCTTGTTTCAAACTCACCAGCCTCCCAATAGCACAAATATAACACAGAAATGCTTGGTACTGATTAAAACTTCATGTTCTGTGAACTAATTACAGAAAACAGTTATGGTGTACAAAACTCCTTTTGATGAAGATGACTGCAGTAACTATCACTTTTTGAACAAAATACTGTCTTTCTCGCCAGTGACATAATGAATTAGACACAGTATGTACTGCACAGAAGATGCATTATGACTTTCCTCCAAACACAGCACATGACCGCTAGCTTCTTTGCATTAAAAAAGAAGAAAAAAAGAAAAAAGAAAAAAACCTATGGTTTTCCACTAACAAACATTTAACATCCTTAATTTTTAAATCAATCGTAGCCTTTACAAATATAGTTCATACTGTATGGTGGCCACACAAAGTATTGAAAAGACCGCAATTACAGTCCAAATAAACTCCACCAGCTATTTGGAAGTACACAGTTGTTTATGAAACGCATTTACCTGTACAAGCTGTTGTTTCAGCTTCTGGATTTCAGAAATGTTTAATTCACTCAGAAGATCTGAAACCAGACTTGGGGCTGGAGGGAAGCTTTCATTTTTCTTGGGCGTTGATGTACTATTCTTGCCATTGCTGAGTTTGCTGAGGCAGTTTTGTTCAAATCCATTCATGATTTCATCATTATTGGGTTCTGTAGCTTCATCGCTGAACTTCAGTCCATCCAAAGAGATGTTCAGGTGGCTGTTGTACATGGAGTCGTTGATGTTCATGTAGTGAGAGAGCTCCTTGCGAAGATTGTTCTTCTGCTCCCGCTCCGTCTTCAGCGTCTCTAAGGCCTCCTCAAGCTGGCGTTCCGAGATCTCCTTCAGCCGTATGGCATCTTCTAGTTGGCTGTTCAGAAATTCCGTTTCCTCTTCGAGCCTTTTGATTTCATGTTTCAGGCCTTCAAACTCCACCTGGAGATATACAAATGGAAGGGAAAAAAAAAATTCTAATGATAATGTCTGCCTGCAAGGCACCAAAAGTAATTTTACTTTTGAACATCTGATTTCACTAAATATGGCAAGAATAGAATAGTTTTTTCCATCCTGGAGTCTAGTTTTGCACTATGACTGCAAATACTGCTTACATAATTTACCTTCACAGAGACCATGAAACAAAATTCTTAAACTATTGAATGAGCTGATCTATTCCAGCTTAATTAAGACAGGTGGGAGATACAGTGTGTGATACAGAGGCATCACAAAACAGGCTTTCCTAGCACATTATGCAAACTCTTTCTCCGTTTGATTAACAAATTCCTTGGCCAACCTTCCCACACATTCAAGCTCAACATTTCCAAAACCCAGCACTGCAAAGCTATGCTTCTGACACTCTGCTGCACTGCTGTTAGAATATGCCACTGGGCTTAAAACTGTTGGGAGGCACCTAGTAATCAAACTCTGCTTTTATACATTCAAAATAAAATGTTTTATCATTTCTGCCATCATCATTTCAGCACATCTTGAGAGTGCTACAACTCAGACTCTACATTTCAGACTCATAGTGCTGCTACATGAAATTTGATGGCATGCTGTAAGTTTTTACCTGTAAAATTGTATTTTTTTTAAACCTCTCTTGCACTGAAATTATGAACACCAACAATTAATTTTAAAACTTTGAAGCCCTTGGCAAAAAAAAAACCCAAACCAAACCAAAACAAAAGCCTAAAGAATACCTTTTCCTTACCTTGAAAGAAAAGAAAACACACTGCATGATATATGACCCTATTTATTTTTGCCAACTGCTAAAGGAATTTTAGATGCCACACACACCAAACCAGTAGTACTGAACTACACCTGATTTAAAAAACAGGAACCAATCATGTTAATTCAGTTTTGCAAGTTAAGCCTGCAAAAGCTTGATAGCTTCTTCTGGTTATGTCAGTAGGATAATTAAAGCTTAATAAAATTCATCACGCAAGCTTAGGACAAGGTAGAAAATGAAATAATCCATTGCCGTTAAAAGAATTAGCTCTTGGTTCTATGTATGTCCACTGAGCCAAAATATTTAAGATTGCAGTCTATTTTCAAAGGTTCCAGAATACAAACACAATAGCCAATAATTACTAGCAACTGACAAGATAGCATCTGAGGTTGAATTTGGCTCAGCCCAGAACAGCAGCATTCTTGAATTTCATTATTTTAGAATGTGAACATGGAGCTGGGAACTTTCACTTGCTCCTCTGAATACAACAAATGCAGCAAAAAAAGGTAAAACCAAAAGTAACCAACTACATAGGTTGGATTTCACTAGATCACTATCTCTTCCAGTCTGCATCGGGAGCAAAACAGCCCCTTCAGCCCTACCGCATGATGTCAGCGCAATTAGACCAAATTCAGGTGAGAACAGGTCAAACCTGGAACCTCATTTTGGGCACATCAGTGAGGCCTACGTGACAAACATTGACATGGAGTTTCACCTGGAGATAAATGAAATACATTCAATATCCCAAACACCTCATGTGGCAGGGCAGATTTCATTCAGAATACTGAAGGAGTTCTGAAGCAAATCCTAATAAGCTTTTGCTATGTGCTCACTACAATAGATGGTATTAAGATAGTTTTCTTCAAGAGCTGTTCTTTCAGGAATATTATACCATTTTCTCAACTGAACTTTGAGTTTTATTTACAACGAGACTGACAGGTACCTGAAGAATAAAAATAGCAAATCCCCAATTGAAAGATGAAGATAAGTAAACTGTGCCAAAGACCACATCTAATCTAATTATCTCTGCAAATGATAACTCAGGGAAATTCTTGAGTTGTTCCAAACATGTAGTTTTCTATAAATTCTGAAAATAGCTGGACCTGTGCAATTAAATGTGACTTTTTAGATGAGCAGTCACACAGGTCTGACAGTACAGAGCAACTACAACAGTAGTTCATGTTTAATGAAAGTAGCTAGAAGAGAGGAGGAGTACAGAACTGGAGAGATAATGTAAGCATTAAGTAGCAATAAAAATGTATGTTCAGAAATACACGCAGTCACAGATACTGTAGAAAAGGATGGATGGATGGATGAAGAGTATTGCAAAGAGACACTGAAAAACTAGTGTAGCAAAAAGACTAAACCAAGTAACAAAGCAGACTGGCAGAGACTTCACTTCCATCACAGAGAGAGCAGGCAATGGAAGGACTTGGGAGGTAAAAGTAGAAGCAATAAAGTCTTATGACTGTGTATAAACAGAGTCAGAAAGGACTTAAATATTTTGGGACAATTCTTGGTACTAAAAGGTAGAGCTTATAGTATCAAAAGCAGTACAAACATAGAAAAAGAAGTGGTTGGATGTTCAGTCGAGACCGAACCATGTCATAACGCAGGAATTAACCAGTGCTACCAAAGCAATGCTTGCTATTTTGAAAAACTTGCCTGATTTTGCTTCAGGACAGAAACTTGTTTCTGGAGACAGATGTTTTCCTCTTCAAGCTCAGTGTAGTCTTGCAGCAAACGCGCTTCTCGGAATTTATATTCCTTAATATCATCTCGCAGACGGGCCCTCTGGATCTCCACATTCTGATTGACCTGGAAAAACAAACCAACCCCAAAATGATGGTGATTTGGTCAGTTACAATTAAGTTTCAAATTTTATCTTTCCTCAAGTGCATTAATCAATGAGATTCTATTCAAACAGAAACTCTTCCTCCTCCTCCCCCCCACCCCCCGAAATGAAGTTACAGAAAACCAGGTCATTTACACAATAATTAGATTTTATTTTCTTGTTTCACTTACATATTCTCACTCTTGACTCAAAGAAAAGTTAATGAGTTAATGTTGTCTCACTGGCTGTAAGCAACAGACAAAAGTTTTCCAGATCAGAAGTCAACGCCTGACTCTGTGAACACTTAAACAAGAAGGGCCTTTTCACAAGAGAAAGACAGATTCAGATGACTCCAGATGTTCTTATTTGGATGTGTATTTGCTGCTGCTTTTCAACAGACCTTTTCTTTATGCCCTTTTCTTTACACCCAGTGAAATAATTTGGAAATATGTTCTAACGAATCCTTTTGGAGAGAGACACCGAGTTAAAGCTCAACTGAAATCCTGGATCCCAGGAAGAAAGAAATAGCAACTGTAGTTCACTTATAAAATGTTCCCTCCCCTCAGCCCCAAGACTTAAGCAAGACCTTAAAGAAAGGCTTTAAAAATTTTTTTTAAAAAAAATTCATCATTATTGTTTCAGGATAGATAAGAAGTGAAAATCAATATATTAGTGTAGTATGATCTTTAGATCTTTTGTGAATATACACAGACACTTAAATAAATTGAACTAGCACATATCCAGCTATGTGAATGGTTCACTGTATTTAGCTCTTATTTTTTTCAACATTTTTATCCTTCAAGCCACATCTTTAAATATTTAATTAAAACAAAGTCAAAAACATATTCTAAAACATTAGCAGAAATATCATCAGAGATAGGCAAATAGGCAATACAGTTGTCTATAAAAACAGTATCCAGATATTTTAGCAGCCATAGCTGTGAAGCGACAGCATGATCTTCTGAACAGTTCTAAATTGGCACAAAACAAATGTGAGCTCATGAAAGAGGCAGCCTATTGATTCAGCTAGTTCAGTTATGGTATCTTATTCCCGTTTTCATCTATCCAGCAGCCTAGCCAAGAAAGCTTCATCCTCTGATATACAAATTCAAATTCCCTTAGTGTTCTCCACTTCTGGTTAGAAACAAGAATATCAACAATGAATCCAATACGGTCTCAGTCCTCTTGCAAGTGTGCAGCAGGAACACACAGAAGTAATACAACACAGGTATCAACAGGCACCTACAGAAAGCTAAGAGGTAAAGAAAAGTCTGCAGCAGGAGTGTATGCCAAGACTTGAATCTTGGCACATTCTGAACACAAACACAGAATCACCTGCAACTGTTAAGACCAATAAATTTAAATTGTAGCTCCCTCACATGTCAGGTAAAGATTAGACTATATAAACTTGTCTGCTTATTTTTACCAATGAAGACAAGGGCACTACCTCTCAACAAACTGAGAAGCTAAAATGAATATTAATTGCTGAAACCAGACACTACAGTACAACAATGCAAATGAAAAGTTGCTACATTCCATATTCCCTGCCTGAGCAAGTGTTTGCTCTATCTTTGCACAAACCCAGGGTCACAGGGAAAGATGGGCCACAGGGAGCTGAAGACTACAGGCTGACATGAACTCACATGTTAACAACTTCTCCTTATCAACTGCCACGAAGGCCTCTTGCCTTTGGCAGCAAGAGCCTCCAGCCAGAGAATCCAAACTGTTTAATGGTTAGGATTGCAAAAGGCTCTTCTATCAAACCAAGTTTCCCACAAATTAGGAGATCTTATCTGTAATTTTGCCCATTCTCAAGTTAAGTGAAATGCAATGGAAGACCTCCCACAAAGCTACTGGCGGGCTCCTCTCCCCACCATTCAGGTTGCCTTGCTCCTCTTCCTCTCTGGATGATATAATCTTTTCAGAGGGCAGTGCCTGGGGAAATCATTGGAGCCGGTCTGTTTTGAAGAAAAGAAATTGTTTCTGTCCAATCCTGCCCATTTAATTCAGCGCAACAGTAACAGCTCATTATTTAATGTGAAAGTATTGTCATGCTCTGTCTAGCACACAAAAAAACACTCTATTTCAATGTGTACAGGAAGGCCAGATTTAAAAATAGCTCCCTTGTTTCCTGATCGAGGAAGGAAGATATAACCTAGATTTATTGGCTGTTTAGCAAGCTGCACATTCAGTTTGCTCTTAGCATTTTCTTGTCAAATAAATGTGCATGCTTGCAAGCTGCAAGGTTAAATTGGGTGCCATGCTATCTCATATAATTGACCAAATGGCGGGATTTTTTCTGCAGGAAAGGGAAGCTAACACATATCCTTCCTTGGTGAGATTTTTCTATTACCCGTACAGAAAGTGGTATTCACGTATTTTAAGACAGACACACGTACACGGCACATGTTCTCAGAGGCAGTGTCCCACAGTTCCTCAAGTCTACAGAAAAGGTGAGCTGACCTACTGATGAGTTCGAAACTTTGTGTGACTCTTGTTGCTTCAGGGGCTTAGTGGCTTCTTCCTTTCTCCTCTGGCCTGAGCAACCCCTGAGCACAGGGGAGAAGGGGGAGCTGGAACACAAGGGCATGCCTGGCTGGGCTCTCAGCTATACAAAGTCACACCTCCACCCAAAGCAAATCATACAGCATTTTAAAATACCATTACCACTGTGTGGAGAACTGATGGCTATAAAATCCTGTTGAGTGGTCATCTACCTGACAAAACCCCTCAATTTCTCAACCTACAGAATATTCCCGCCACGCAGAAGCCTCCCATCCATCCTGCCCAGGAAAAGATGGTGATCTGAAAGCGATCTAAAGGCCATAGCCCACCCTGCTCCTGCTGCTAAAGAGCTTGTCTTCAGTGTTTTCATCCTCTCAGCTTTGCCTCAGCAGAGTTCTGCAAGAGGAGGCCCCTCGGAGAAGCACCAGTGCGAGAAATAGCACGGGCTTCCTCAGGACCAGTTTGAACGCACCTTTACCTGCATGTCAAAAACACAACTGCTGTCCTTCATCGCTGCCAAAAGCCTTCATCCTTATCACCTACTTTTCTAATACACCCCACCATATAAAGTCATGTATAATTTCACCCTGAGAATTAAAACAATTGAGAAAAAATAAAAATCTCAAGGACCCACTTCCCTCCTTTGGTTTCGGCACTGCACAGCCCGACGAGAGTTCAGGCTCCAGGTCACCAGCCAGAGGCTGACCTTGCAAGAGAAGCCATGTCACTAGCACCATTTCTGTCACCCTGAACTCCTGAGGTCATGAGTCAGTTTGAGTTCCTTGCTTAGTAAACACCTAATTTTACATGTTGTTATTATCATCAAGAGTAAAAACTTAGTTTGCCCAAATTTATTACTAATTCTAGGATTAGATTTAACGCTTCATGCAATAAATATTTCTAGATATGATCATTCCCTCTTTGTTCTTTACATGAAGGATTCACAAAAAAGGATGCAGACTCTTTGGAAGAAATACAGGGCAGTCAGGAAGGACTGCAACTCGTATATGTTCTGTTGCTGCGGGGAGAAGAAAGTCATAGAATCATAGACTCATTTAGGTCGGAAAAGACTCTAAAGATCATCGAGTCTAACCATTAACCTAACACTACCAACTCCACCAAAATAATCAATAAAACATCATCTCTTAGATGATGTTTTATTAAATATCAGCATGAAAACTGGAAAGACTAATCCTTGGACACGTAACTTAGTGCGTTCTTCAGTACTTTTTTTGAAGGAGGTACTTCAGCCAATGTTTTTCTGAACACTGCCTTCATACTCATAGCTGTCGCTTCAGAAGAGCCAACCCTCAAAGCTACATCATCTGCCCTAGGTATCAATGGTGAAATTAGGACCTCAAAATATGGACTATAAAGCTTTTCTATGCACAAAAAGAAAACTTCCGGTCAATCAGTAGACATTAACACAACTAACAAGTTACATTATTTAGGCTACAAAGATTGGCAGTTGCAAGTTGTGTGTGAAATTCACCACTGCCCATCTGATTTTAATTGCATTTCCTTTGGACATGCGAGGACTGGGGTCCTGTGGCAAAGTATCCTGTAACTGTGTAACTAAGGGCTGGGATATAAAATACTGCTAGAACAGAGCCGAATTAAGATCGCATAAGAAACCAAAAATAATCTTCTCTTAGATCTCAAGTTACGGCTCTTAAGTATTTTTTTTTAATTATAGTTATTAAACAAAACACTAATATTTAAGAGAAAAAAAAAAGATTAAAAGTTCCATTAGATCCAACTGTTTACTATATATCAGCAAAAGGTTTGGAAACCTGTACCTTCACTACTGCAATAAAGATCATCTGTGTGACAAAGCTGTTTGCAGCCCCTGGCAATGGGCAAATGCTTTCGAGGTGGAGAGGCAGACCAGCAGCCA